CTTTCACGAGTCAAGACTCGTCGAACGCGCGCACACATTCGCGACCGCGTCGCGCGCGACGCGAGAGCGCGTCGTCGACGCCGCGCGACGCGCCCGCGCGCCCGCGCGCGCGTTCGACGATGATGCGCTACGCCTTGCTCTTCAGTAAGCAGGCGAAGATTCGTCTGAGTAAGTACTACGTCCCGACCAAGCCGAAAGATCGAACGCGGATCGAACGCGACATCACCGCGGCGGTGCTCGCGCGCGATCCCAAGGCGTGTAACGTCGTCGAGTACGGTGAGGTGAAGCTGGTGTACAGGCGGTACGCGTCGCTGTACTTTTGTTTGGCGGTGGAGCGGGACGCGAACGAGCTGGCGACGTTGGAGATGATTCAGCACTACGTGGAAATCTTGGACAAGTACTTTGGAAACGTGTGCGAATTGGATTTGGTGTTTAATTTTCACAAGGCGCATTACGTCTTGGACGAGGTCTTCGTGGCGGGACACCTGCAGGAGACGAGTAAGAAGTTGGTGGCGCGGTTGGTGAGCGAGCAGGACGCGTTGGTGGAACGGGCGAAGATGGGAGGACCGGCGGGCGAAGACGCGTAGGCGAACGGTCGAGGGACGCGCGCGGAGGTCGGCGTGTGTATCGTTAGGTAGTCGATTAGTAGGTTTCGTTTTTTTGTAGTGATCGAGTCGGTCGATCGACCCGGCGCGTCGGCGTCGTTTCGAGACGTTTCGCGTCGTCGCGTCGCGCCGCACACCTCCACGCGCACGCTCGCGCGCACGATGCCCTCCGAGCGGCGACCCACCGCGGTGCTCGCTGATGCGTCCAACGCGCAGTCCCTCGCGAGATCGTCCGCGCGAAAGCGTGCGCCGCAGAGCGTCGAGAAGAGCGCGAAGAGCGACGTTGTGCATTCGGGCGAAAACGACACGACACGCGTCGCCGACGGCGATGCGGCGAACGCGAACGTCTTCGCGAGCATCGACGACATTGTGAAGGAGATCAATGACATGGGTGCGCGCGTTGAAGGCGAGCGCGCGCGAGACGACGACGGTGACGCGTGATGACTGTTGGCGCGCCAAGTTCCCCCGGCGAAGCGGAGCGCGCGCGGCGAGCGAGACGACTGACGACGATTCCGCGATCACAGCCGAGCGCGAGTGCGCGAAGATGGTTGAGTTAGGTGAGGCGGAGTGCGAGAAATTGGCGACCGAGCACGCGGCGCGGTGGCGCTCGATGCCGAAGAGGGTGAAGGAGGCGCCGCTCACGGAGTTCGCCGACGATTTAAAGAGAGACGGTAGCGAGGAGGCGATGGCGGAGCTCATCGAGGTGAACAAGGTGCTCGCGACGATTGATGAAACGTTAGTTCGCTAGAGCGGTCGCGTAGACGAATGGTCGCGCGCGAGACGACGGATGATGTAAAAACAGAATTTTCAATATTAGACGGAGAGCGTGCCCTTGGACGACGCGACGGATCCAGCTCGACGCGGGTCGATCGCCGCGCACTGGCGCAGACATTTCCCGAACGCCTTCGCCGCGGCGGTGGCGACTTCATCCTCGTTTACTCCTCGCGAGTGCTCGATTAAGTGCACCGTCATTTGGCCGTTGAAGGCCAAGCTCATGAAGACGTGCTCGACCATCTCGACGCTCAAGTCGCCGCCCACCTTGTCGCAGTCGAACTCTAGCCCGTACCCGAGGTACGGACGATTGCTGAGATCCATGACACACTCCACCGTGGCGTCACCTTCGGTGGACATGGCGCTACCCATGCGGTTGCAGCCCTTCTTCGTCGCGAGCGCCTTGTTCAACGCTTGGCCGAGGGCGATGCTCACGTCCTCGGCGGTGTGGTGATCGTCGATCCACAAGTCCCCAGAGGCGTTGATGACGAGTTGTATGTTAGCCTCGCGCTGAATCGACGACAGAAGCCCATCCAATGCGACGATACCCGTGCTGATCTTCGACGTTGACGCGTCGCCGTCCAAATCAAGCTCGACGTCGATGGACGTCTCCTTCGTCGAGCGCTTGATCTCGCTCTTTCGCGGGGCCTCCTCACTCGGCGTCTTCGAGTCGTACACATCGATTCCTTCCACCGAATCCATCGCCGCTCGCAGCCCGCGCGCGAACGCCTTGAACGTCGACTCCACGATGTGGTGCGCGTTATCGCCTCTGCGCTTCGTCAATCGCAGGCTCATCCCCGACTCCTCAGCGAGCGCCCTCCAAAACGTCTCCGTCAACGCCGTGGGATACGTCCCGATGTGCGACCGCCCTCGCGTGCCCGGTCGTCCGTACGGCGCGAGCGCGAACGTCTCCAACCCGCCGCCGCCGTACAAGTCCACCTCGCACTCCGCGTACGCCTCATCCAACGGGCTCGCGAACCGCGCGCGTCCCGCACCGACCCTTTCTCCCGCACCCTCGCGCAGCATTTTCTTCATCGCCCGTCCCAGCGCCCGTCCGCACGCGTCGAAGACCTCCGCCGCGTGTTCGCCGTCGTCTCGCGTCTCCGCGCACGCCTCGCCGTTCCGCGTCGTCTCCACGCTCACCCCGAGCTGCGCGTGCGCCGTGAGCTGATCGATCATGTGATCCAAGAAGGGCTGTCCCGTGGCGATCGTCCCTCGGCGCCCGAGCGCTCGGACGCGCGCCGCGCACGTCGTCCCGTTCGTCGTCGCGTCCGCCCCGTGCGCGTCACCCCAGAGCCCGGCGCGCGCGACCGCTCGGCTTCGGCGC